CAGCTGTGGCCTGGTAAAGTCAGCCTGTTCCTAATCTTTGATAATTGGCCCAGCCACAACTCCTTAGGGGTAAGATTACTTTCTACACTATCTTTATTTTCTTATATTCTGTCCCCCTACACTACCTCTTTTTAATAAAGTAATAAATGGGAATTTATGTATCTAAGCAAATTGTACCTTAGCATTAAGTACTAATGACAAAAAATGCCATTTGAAGTAGAAACTCTGAAATTAAGTACTGGAATCTTCTTGAAGGCCTCAAGAACTGTAAAGATGAAAAGAACAAAATCAATAGATAAAATGTATTTTTTATGCCTTACTTTTTTAAAGTAGGATGAGAACAAGCCTGAATCAAAACAGGAACACATGATGCAGAAATCCAAGACACTACCATCTGAAACTGGATGTGTTTGATATGTTTTTCTTAAAATATTCTTTAGAATAATTAATAAAGCTGTCTTTCAACAGAAACTGTGCCCTAAAAACAATTTCTAAAGTAATTTTTATGGTATTGAATTAGAAGACTGTGCCCCAAACAGGATAAAGAATTTTTTCCTTTTATCTAATGAACATTTTTTATTTCTTTTTCTGGTCAAAACCACACATTAACTCAGGATGAAGAATAAACATACCAAAATATAAATGTTCAAGAATAAGGACAATTCTCAAAAATTCAAGGAATCATGCTGCTTCTCTGGCTGCCTTTCACTGGTAGCAGAGTATATTATCCTTTTTGCAGTGACAGGAGACCCGTTTGCAACTTCTTCTGTTCTTGTAAAGGAAGTTTTTAAACTATTTTGTTATTTCAGCTCTGTGTGTGTGAAATTCTTTATTGAAAATGTCTCAAGAGATTAAAGCACAGACTACTCACAAAAGTTTATTTGATCTTAGGCATTTTACTAATTTGTTTGCTTTGTTGCCACAGAATCACAGAATATTCTGATTTGGAGGATTTGAGGCTGACTTGAATTTTTTTTCATTCTTCCACCAACAGAAATAAAGACATGTAGAGATATATATAGATAAATTCCCACAGAGAACAATGTTCAGAAATTTTCTGTTCGGTGGAGTCTTTCCATTGTCACCAACTGCTGTGGTGACAATGCCTCTCTTTTGGGTAAAGGATTGAAAAGGGTACCTATAGCTAACAGAATTTTTTTATTATTATTATTCCTCATATTTCACTGGGAACTACAGAGGCTACTAAGAACGATTTCACAGTGGAATTGCATCGATACCTCAACAAGTTATGTGAAAAATAAGTGGTTTGATAATTTCATAGGAACTTATTAATCATGCTGGAATGTGCATGTACCACCTGTCACGACGTAGCAAGTCTGAGAGAGCAGGGTGTGTGATCCTGCTACCAACAAAAACTCCATGCATATAAGTAAAACTCATATTCACATAAATTAATGCATTTCCTGACCAAACTAGACAGCTCAACGCTTTTTCTCTGTAGAGGTGTCCTCAGTGAATATTGCATGTTTTGGAGAGATATCACTGGCTGATTACTTGCTGGTTCATTTTCAGTGTTAATTATGTGAACAGCATCGCTCTCTCCACAATGGATGGGAAGCTGGTGACAGCAAACCCTTTTCCAGAGATGGAACCAGTTCCCCATAGAACTGATTTTCTCTTCTGTGGTGCATTCGCTAAACTGAACCCATCTAATGGTTTCTGATAATTGCACTAAAAAGGTTTCAAAACAAAATGAAAGAAAAAAACAAAAAGGCAAAAATCTAACGGGACTTTATCTGCTCTTCGTCATTGTTTTTTGTTTTTATGGTTTGTCTTGGAATCATAAAAATAACTCTGACATAAAAGCTTAATGCAGAAAACAGCAGCAACAACAAAAGAAACAAAATGCTCTCAGGCTAACAAAACAACTTATTTTTCTTACCAGGACCAGGTGTAAGCTAGTGACAATACAAAACTAAGGATTTATCAGTGTGATCAACCACCTTTGAACAGACGTCCAAAATGTTTTAATTGTAGTTAACTGTGCTGTAATAAGCAGCTGGTCCCGGCAATGCCTCAAAGGTCCCAGTCCAGCCTTATTTTCTGTGATCTCTAGAAACTGAAAACAAGAAAATGTTTAACAAAGTTCAGCACATTCTGTGTCAAAATAGTTTTATTTTAGTATGTTCTTAAGATGTTCAGATATGGTGTGGTGAAGAAAAAGACCACTGTGACATCTGCATCATCCCACATTGCTCTCTTGAAAAGCATAATCTCAGAAGTAGAGCCCAACATCTATTTCTCACCCACCAGAGGCTCATTTCAGCTTCTCTCTTTCCTGTTCACTGTTTAGCCAAATATTTCTGGCACTGATAGGGGGTCAAAAGTACTTCCATTTTCAATGTCCATCAGCTGAGTGAAGACGTAGAGCAGGGCTCACCTTGGGTGAGTACAGACTCTGTGCATCAGAAATTTTAGCAAAGGGAACAGTCACCTGTTTGACTCGGGATGGATTGCTAGATACATGCTTTGCAAAAAGTTAGATAGATGGCATGCTTTATGCTAGTCATGACCTTGACATCATTGTTCACCCAAATTAAGAAAGGATTAATCCTTGCCTTCGATGTTTCATGCAAGCAATGATAAAAAGCTGCAGCAAACAAAGTCAGTAAAGTCACATTGCTAAAGTTGGGGTAGAATAAATTATAAGCAGTAGAGATCAGAACACATTGTTAATTTTGTAGGCAACTTGGCAAAGAAGATTTTTATCAGAATAGTAATAGAACAGATTTGTCCCTTCCAAGTATCATCAGGTAGTAAGCCAAAACTTTTCAAATTTTCAATTAAAAAGGACTGTGCTTCACTTCAGACAAGCTATTTCAATGAGCTCTCTCCACATAATCAGTTCTACAGCTGAGATGTCAGAGGACCCTTGCAAATGTAAATATGCAGGAGAAAGGTTTTCCTGTGGTCAGAGTTCAAACTTTGGTGAAACTGAAGGGAGCAAAATTTTCTTGAAATGTCACCTGGCAGTCCTTAGCTTGCATGGGCTGGATGCCTGTTAGATCATAATCCTTGTATTTCCATGGAATCCTGCAGGGTACTCTTCCATCATTTTTCAAAAATCAGTGGTTAGAAATATTTTTTTCTCACATATTAGTAACACAAAAATGCCTGTCATGTATGTTCCTGCATAAAACATGTTTAAAAGGTAAATGAATGGAGTAAACAGCATGACATTTATCTAACTACCCTGTATGAAAGGTTAATTCTACAATAACGACAAGTTAAGACTCAGCCTCCAATTGCCAAAGACAGATATAGCTGTAACTAAACTCATTTTGTGAAGCAAGCTACATCAAATGCACAAAGTCACCTGGTACAAATGGTAGCTTTGCCATCCTGCAGTAGTGTGCTTTGATTCAATTAAGCCAAATAATATACTTTCCCCCCACACACACTTATATCTAGGACTTTTGGCAGCCTTTGCAACACCAGAGTTAGGAGTGTCACCTTCACCTATGCCTGTGTACATACTCTTGCACATAGTCATGTATACACACATTACATGTGCATATATTTGTTGCTAAGGAACCTTTTTTCTTTCTTTTCTTCTTTCTCAGCATCAGATTGTGCTCAAGGGCTGGTGAAAGGCAGAAGTTCCAATCCCATGTATTTTTCCATCTCTCAGTATTACTTTTTTTCATCACCTAAGAGTTCCTTTTGCTTTTTCTAGTGCACATTTTCCCAGAGATTCAGTGCCAGTTTGGTTCAAATACAGGAGCTTTATTTCTCCTCTGGGTACTTACAAGCTCTTTGAGAGCATTTCTGTCTAGTGGTATTATGACATTACCAGCACACTCATTGATACATCTGATTTATTCCCTCTGTGCACTCTCTTTCCCCTTAAAATTGCTCCAGCTTCCGATCTATTCACAATTAAAAAGGGATGTTTTTCATAGTATTTCAAATGAACATCAGTGAAATGTTGCTTTTAGCCCTCAAAAGGAAAATAATTAGTAAAAAAATGCCCAGACAAACAACTGTTACCACTATATAGTATAGTTCCAAAGTTGCAAGCTGAAACCGGAGTCATCTACTTACAGAAAATTATAGAAGGCAAAAAATTATTTTGTTGTTTCAGATTATCTGATATGGAAAAATTTCAGCAGAAAGTGGTTTTTATCAGTGCCAGGTCTGTTACCACAGACAGGTTAAAGAAACAGGATTTGAAGACAATTGTTTTAACAAAAAAAATCATGGATTTTGGCTAATTAATACTATGATTTTTAGATGTCCCACACCTGAATGAACTTTTGATTATCTCCTTTGTCTCTGAAATCAATACAAATGTCTTAGTAGTGGGTAATATATTCCTTTATTTATCTCAGCAGCAGTTCCTCCATGTTTCCTGAAATAACACCTCAGGACTCCTTGGTCAGCAGTAGCAGATACTTTTCCAGGCCTTTTAGAAAATTAGAGGGATCATGAGATCTTTCTTTCTACTGAGTAAATAACAGTGCCACATCATTAACAGAACAGTTGATCACATGTAAATAATAGTAACATTTGATTACAGTGCTCAAAATTCAGAGATAGTAGATATGTCCCTAGGACCGCTAAAGTGGGTATATCTTGCCATGCTTTTCTCAAGCCAGTAATATTTTTTAAAAGACACTCTTAAATGCCTAAATTCTACTCCCAGCAAAGCAGTTGCCCAGCACTGATTTAACTTGTAGCAATTCTGATTTCTACATAAACTTCTGTTTGTTTCCTTCTAGGCATTGAATCTGTACGGTTTCTTGGAGAAAAAAATACATGAAAAATATTGATAAAACACTTAAAATGTTCTTACCCTGCCTTAAGTTGAATCGTGTTCCTAATAATTTTACTAATCTCTTAACTTTTCTGAAAGAATACAATAGCCTTCCTGAAAAGTCTAAAACTAAAATATATGGTAATAAAGTGATGCATTTTTTAAGTTGTTGAAGAACTAAGATTTTTCCAAGCTTTTTTTTTTTCCTCTTCTTCTTTCTTAGCATCAGATTGATCGGCCACTGTCTTTGTAAAGTCTTCTTCATTCTCCTCAGTCCAAGGATGTATTTCAGAAGGCTCAGAGAGGAATAGAGACCACTTTGATACTTACAAAACCAGGGGCACAAAAGGTAAAGTCTTATGATCACAAAAGGGAGCCCTGAGCATATCTGATTACTCCAGAGTAGCAATTTATATTTATAGCAATAATATTCCCATTTTGCCTTTCTCTGAGTTTGTTTGTTTCTATTTCTTTTTTCCTTTTTTTTTTTTTTGGTCCTTTGTGATTTTTTTTTTGACAGTAGAAAAAGTGGGTGTGCTGTACAGTAAGTGTGGCAATCTGTCTACAGAAGTTCTGTCAGTCCATGATGGACTGAGAAAAAGTGAGGTATGGTGTGCACTTAATTAGGGTGAAAAATAAGTTTGACAGCTTGCTCAGAATCCCAAGTGCTGAGTATTCTTCATTCTGAGAACAGAATACACTGCGCCACTTGTAAAGGCAAGTAATTTGTGTACTAACTTTGTCCTTTATAATTTGGATGCACCAGTGCACCAGTGATTTTAGACACCTTAAAACAAGTTTTCATCTGAGTTACTCCTGACTTTAATGCTCACCCAAATCACCAGTTACATGCATAGCACAATTCAACCACAGGCAGCACTTCCCAGGTGCTTCTTTTTTTTGCAAGTCTATTTCTGGTTGAGAGGAAACAGGGTTTTGAATGAGATTGGACTGCAACTCTTGCTCTGAATTATGTTTAGTTATTTCTCTCAATTCCCAGCTTTGTTGTGAACAATTCTGTACTGAAGGCTTTTAAGTCATAGATAGTGGTCTCAATGCAACTGAAATTCACCGGTAGCTGGAGAACATGCTTTTCCCACAAACTGACTTGTAAAATATTGATTTAATTAGAAATAGGTGTAGTGGCATTTAAGGCATAGGCTTATTTGTGCTGTGTGTGCCAGGTCTAGTGTTGTGAGCAAAGAACTGGAAAATACTGGATTGACCAGAAAAGTTGATTTCAGACAGAAATATTTCAAATAATACACCTTAATAATACATGAATTTTTGGGACCCCAATATAAGAAAGACCCAAACTCAATAAGCTCAGGATAGTTGAGAGCTGGAGCATATTTTTTCTGTGAGGAGAGGATGAAGGAGTTGGGCTCGTTCTTCCTCAAGAAAAGTGAATTGGGGGAATTTAGGATCCCTCCAGTACTGAGAGGATGAAGCCAGGCCCTCTGCAGTGGAGCAAGGGACAGCAAGAGGCAGTGGGCACAAGCTCACTGAATTGATGTTCAGAATACACTAAGTTAAACTGAGAAGCTTTTTCTGCCTCATGGAGATGGTCAACCAAAGAGATTGTGCAGTCTCCAGAGACGCCCAAAGCTCAGTAACATAAAAACACTGAGCAACCTGGTCTGATCCCAGCTGAAGGTTGTATTAGAGACCTCCTGAGGTCCCTTCCAGCCCAGATTATTCCAGAATTCTATAATCCTCCAGTCAGTGAATAAGCACCTTATTACTCTCATCAGTTCTCTTTATTAAGTGAACAGATCTCATGTGCACTGAAAAATACACCACATACTCAGGTATATAAATACAGTTTTCAGAAAGGTCTGGAAGGGTAAGTCCTAACATTTTCCCATGTGCATTTCTAGGTACCTTACTTTCCTAAAAACAACCCTCAGAGATTAGACCTTAGTGTCTGGAAGTCACATGTTGCTTAGGAAGCTAACTGCCACGTGCTTTGATATTTCTATTTTCCACTGAACTCTGGAGTGCTAGTTTACATAACGGAATGACAAGGGACCAACGTCATTGCTATACCAGAGTTCTGTGGAAGTGTTTGGAGATGTGTGAGGTTTTTTTCCTTCACCTCAGCTCTTTATCAGGCCAGTGCACTGACACTCCAGAAGCAATTTGCTATGAAGTCTCTCAGTGATGGTATTCCTGCCCAGGTGACACCACTGGCACATGTCTACACTGTAAGTGCCTGATAAAACAATTCCTCTGTTGCAAGAGCACACACAGTCCTTGTATTGACAAAGGAGGTGGAGAGGAAACTGTACCTGATCACTTCCTAAGGGAGGTCCTGTGCATTTAAATGTAGGTAAAGATGCTTTTGAGAAGACCTCTTAAAGCACTATTGCTTCACTGACTGCACTAAATTGCCGCCACAAATATTGTTTTACTAAGGAACTAATGTTTAAGCATTGGCTGGATGTCTACATGAGGCAGAGAATATGTGAGCTATAGCTCTCAGTAAATTCAGATGCCAGCTAGCAAAAACTGCTATTCACAGTAGTAGAGACCTTTTCCATTATTTCTCTTGGTAGAGGCAGTAAATATTTGAACCAGGAGTTCTCTCCTCTGGATGTTCATCAAATATAACCTGCACTTTAAAGAAATCCTGGCAGGCAATTGTTAAGGCTCTGATCATCAACTTTTTACTGGAGAGACACTGAGAAAAAAGTCTGTACTGATCAGAGCCTGTACTGATCACTGTCCTTAGAGGAGAAATGACAGAAGCTAATAAAGTTATTGATCTGCACAGGGAGGGTGGCACAATCCGGCTGTCAAAACTGGACTTGATTCTTAGAGAAAATCTGCCATGTCACTTTATGTAGACTTTTTTTCTTCTGTTTTACTTAAAGATCTCTATAAAAGGACACCTCACCTTTTAATTATTTACTTTAAAGTCTTCTTGATTCACCTTTAGTGGAAACACATAGCTCTTAAAAAATAAATGAACTATTATCATAGACTATAATGAGGCCATCTCCATGGTAATTAATTTCAGAGAGTGGCATTCACCTGGCATATACTATAATTACACTTTAATATTGAGGCTGATCTGAGCAACTAACTGAAATGAATTAATAAAATATATTTTATTAAAGCTAATCAGGCTATTATTGTTATAGTAATTATAATTATTTTTTATTATTAAATGGATCTCAAATTCTTTTTAAACAGCATCTTTTTCTGGGAGCAAATACTCAGTTCATTTTCATGTTATTAAATGTTCTTAAGACCATACTGATGTCAGAGTGGTTTGTTTTTCAGATGAGAAAATCAACCAAAGAAGATAATCTCTAGTTGACTACTATACGTAGTTTTATAAAGTGGTGGTATGTTAATACATAGAAATGATGTATAAAGCAGTAACCATAATCATGCTAGTTTTTCAGAGAGCAGATTTATGATATTTCATCTCCACCTCAGCAACACAAAACTAAGATGTTTTTCATTGCTGTTTCATTTTCTAAAATCAAAACGAAGCATCTCTTTAGACAAAAATATCCTTTGTTTCATTGATCCTATACTTTTTCAAAGCAGGTATAATGGACTGTATCTGTTCATCAGGATCTTATCCTGTACTGATTGCATGCAGTTTGTGTTCATATATTTCAATTCACAAAACTGGTCATAGGCCTAATTTCTGTCTCCAAATTCTTTACCCTTTCAGCAATTCTGCATACTACTCCTTATTCTTACTCACTGAAAAAGAAACCAGCCAGCCATGTAGTTCTTACCTTGTTCTCAGTCTAAATCATTATTTCCCAACATGCACACTCACACACACACACACACACACACTGTTAATTATGTAATTATACATTCTATATGCACAAATATAAAACCATTTAAATCACACTGCTGTATGTATATAATTGCATTCAGACAATTATTTAGAAGAATGTGTGCATATGCACAGAATAAACTGGAGCTGACATGGGTAATATTTGACAATGCTAAGACATTTATTTATTAAATGTAAACTAAAGATATAAATCTATAAAAAAATTTCTTTGCAATTAAAATGAAAATCAAGAAAGATTGTGATTTAGACAATTTGGCATATTAGAACAGTGTTTCAAGCATGTTTGCTCAGGGTTTTCTTCAGATACCTCTTTCCTAAAACATGACTTCACACACTGAAGGAAAAGTTGATGGCAATGAAAAACTGTGCAAGTGATGTTTTGTTAAATCAGATTTTAGAACCCATAATGTGTGTTTCACTCACTACTCTTCCAGAGAAACCGAAAAATGAAATTACTGCTGGTATGGTTCATCATTTCCAAACAAGAGATACACACAGATGTGCTAAAACAAACCAAGGCCTGGGTTATGACTTCTTTGTGACCATTATGATTTCCCTAAATCAACTATGAAGTCCATTACAGTAATTTCTTTAGACTTTTGTTTGTAATACATCTCTGGATCTTTTCAGAAGAAAGCTTAAACTAACCATATTTTTTTGTGTTTAGGCAAACAGGCTCTATTACTGCTTCAGTGTTGCATTTACTTTATGCTGATTTTGCACAGGAATAGTTTTAGCCTGAAAGAAACAATATTAGCTGTAATGTCATTTCCAGTCTCTCCAGAGATATGTATATGCTTTGGAAAAACTAGTTTTTGAAATTCTGGGTACTCTGACAGCCCAAAAAGCAAAACTGAACAAGATGAGGCTGGAACTGATTATATTCCAGGCATTTGATAAAAGAAATGGAAATTGTAGATAATTCCTATGCAGATACAATATGGGTAATTTTGAATAACCTTTTTATTTCTTTCTACAGCAGTGCTATTTTTCTCATAATATAGTAGTAACTGGAAAACACACTCTTTCTATAATTGCTTTCATACATTTTCATTGCTTTTATTACAGAAACTGCACTTTAATAAAGTTAAACCAACTGTGAGGTGCTACATATTGTAAATGTTCTGCTCCTATCTTGCTATACTATTTATGGTGCCTTATTCCTTTCTGTTTGTTATCTAGATCTATATGATGAAATCTCTATTAAAATAAAATGGGTGATTGCCTGAAAAGCACATAAGAAAGAGGACATTTTGCACCATACGAAAAGACTGTTCACCAGCTGTTCACTGTCAGAGAAAAAGGACACTTCCAGTAAGTACCAGGGAGGTCTGTCTTGGTGTGGTATTATTGAATAGTTCTGTTAATGGCTTTGACCTCTCATTAGAACTGATTTGTAAAATTTGTGGATGGCTTCCCGCCTCACAAATACTGAACGATGCGATGAAAATTCAAAATGTCTGTGCTAAATTAGACAGATGGTTTGATGTCAACAAGAATAAAGTAGTGCAGGCGATGGCAAAGTGCTGCATGTTACAGCAGAGAAATGGAATGCAAAAAGGCAAAACTGAGACTTATTGTCTCGGCAGGATCACTCCAGTAAAGGGTCTGGGAATAATTGCCACAAACTGAGTAAGAGTCAGAAATATAATGCTGCTGTAAGAAACGAAATGAAACAAAACAAAACAAAACAAAGCAAAAAAAAAATCCCACCAAAAACAAACTTCAAAAAAAAGTTGTATTTCAGACCAGGATATATTAACATCAACATAAACTGCATGAAGGAGTAATTTCCATTCACATGTACCTGGCAGCAGAAAGATTTTGGGTAGAGTACTGTGTCCACCTCTGGGCACTCTGCTTCGCAGACAGGCTCATATGTTGGACAAGGGAAAAACGAGGGAAATCAGGTTGGACAGGCATCCAAAGAATGGAACCTGGGAAAGAAAAAAAAGAAAAAAAAAAGCATTTTAGTTTGGAAAAGATTAAACTAATGGGGGATAAAAAGGAGAGGGTGTTGTTGCATTGCCTTCAATGTACAGCAAATGGGAAACAAGAAATAGTTGTTGTAATTCACCTCAGTGAATGTGCAGATTAGAAATGGGGAAAATCTAAACTGGAAGATGAGTTAGACATTACAGCAGGCAAGCAAAAGATGTAGGAATGAGGAATATTTTAAAAAACATGGATTTGTGGGGTATGATGGAAGCTCAAGCAATCCCTTTGGCCTCAAAGTTAGTGATTTCATGATGTCACCTCTGACTGTGCCTTGCCTCTCTGAAGGAAATTCAGTGTTACCAGAGGAAAAAAAGTAATTTTGACCTCATTGTGTGCTGCTGGGGAAAAAAAAAGCCCCTAAACAACCAAATTGGCCTTTGGGTCTCAAATGTTTAGATAAGGAGATTGCAAGTAGTAGTACAATAAGAAGAATAAAGTCACTTCTTTGTACAAATGTGATGATTCTTCATTTAAATGAAATAATAAGATAACCCAATAAGATGGGTTTTTCTTGTACCAACCAAATTAAGAATTCTAATGAAAATCCAAATAAATAGCTCCTGGATTGGTGAGAGAGAATTTGTGCTTAAGTAGTTCAAATGTTTTTCTCATTAAAAAGGGACTTAAAAAACAGCCTGATTGCACAGTACACATACCTCCATGGAAAGATATATGGGTGTGAAATATGCCTTGCTTCTAAAAGCATTTTTCTCCCATCTGTATAGCATGCTCATGGGGACAATCAGAGCAGAAGGCAAACTTCTGGTGTTCTGAATAACCCCCATGAGGGTCTTCCCTCTGGAGACAAAGCCCAGAGAGAGATTGCTTTGCTGGGGTACATGGACTACCATCCTGAATGCCTCCATAATTTAGCAGCTGACAGCTCAAAGCAGGAGACAGAATCTCAAACAATGACAGTGATTAAGCCTGGGGAGTTTTTGTAAGGGAAATGGCATATCTTCTGCTATTTTTAAATCAGAGCTAGATGTCTCTCTGAAAGGTTTGCATTAGTCAAATAGAAAGCATGATTCAATAAAAGGAAAGTTACTGGTCTCACTAAAGAAACGAGTGTCTGAAATGGAAGGGGTTATGATTCAAGAGGGTGATCTAATAGGATTAAATAAGAGAAAGGCATTGTTTTAGATGAGCAGTAAAAAATATGTAATATTATGTCTAACACTCAAAAATAAGGTTATTTCAGACTGCTCTTTCAGACCTTTTTGTTTCTTTCTGGGTCTAAAGGAGAAAAAGATATCTTTGTTGACAAGGTAAATTATTTGTAATTTTAAATAGAACTATACTGCTGTCAAAAGCACTGATGGGACCTGATGAGAACAGTCCATGCCATTTTGCCTCCTTGGCCTCCCTTTGTCTTCCTTTATTGAATTGTCTTGATTTGCATTTTCCTTATTTCTATTCTTATACTTACTAAAGAATTAAAACTTTGCAAGATATTCAGTATTGTAACAGTATGTTCCTGACAGTCCAAAATTAGGCTTTTTAAATTCGTAGAGAAATAAAAAAAAATAAAAAAAAGAGATCACTATTATCTATAAGTTATACCCTGCCTCCATTTTCCTCATTTCTAGTAAAAAATTTCTGCCCTGCGTGAGGGTTAGAAGGATGACACTGCAGAAGGGGCTTCTCAACATGAGCTTTTTTAGAAGCTGTTGTTTTTCTGTCCATCCTTCCTTATTAAGCAAACTTTCACACAAAGTCGCATAAACATGGGGTGCACCTGCAGAAATCTTGGATCGTAATATTAAGGTGTATTAAGATATTTGTTGTCATTTTGTGTTGGGAGTTTGGCTGGCTAAGGACTGGAAAAGTACAAAACCGTGGCTAATTCCAAGTCCTGCACCTGCAAGATAGCAGTGTCCTTGGGCCTAGCTGTGGTAGGATAACAAACAGTGAAAGAGACATGAGAAAAGAGAGATGTAACCCCTAAGGAATGAGGAAGAGTTGATGGTATAGTTTAACCAATAGATTGCTTGGCTTACAGAATATTCATAAGCTTATTATTCGCTGTATAAGTGTCTGATACTCTCTTCAATAAACTGGAATTTGCTTATCACTCATATTGAGTGTCTGAGTCTCCCCTCACCGACAAATGGCTCGTCCCCGGCAAAGGCCTCATTTTCTGCGACAATTTTGCACTCAGATGCTTGCTCTCTGCTACAAGATAAAACAGCTGCAGTCAGAGGGTGGGTTTAGATGAGATATCAGGAGGAACCTTTTTATTGTGAGGGCGGTGAGGCACCAGGACAGGTTGTTCAGAAAAGCTTTGGATGCCCCATCCCTGGAAATGCTCAGTGCCAGTCTGGATGGGGCTTTGAGCAATCTGGCATAGTGTCCCTTATGATCTTTAAGGTCCTTTCCAAACCTAACATTCTGTGAGTTTATGAATCCCACAGAGTGTATTTTGTGGAGTAAAAGAGCTTGGTATAATTCTGGGTGATGGAGTTAATCACAGCCTTCTTTTCTTAAATTGGACTGACAGTACTTGTGAGAGGAATGTGTTGAAGACAGCGCTAGAAATATTCATGATGTGAAAAGATAAGGAAATGGGGGGAAACTGAATAATCAGTTGTCAGCAAAATTTATGTTCTCTAAAATAAATTTTTCCCTTTATGTAAGGGGAAAAAGAATATAATGCATATAAATGTAATGGAAACATAGCCAAAATTTAATTTCACTTGATTTTTTGTGAAAATATTCAGAACATGGTTGAGTTTTGAATGATAAGTGTGACAGAGTTCACAGGGGTTCTTGGATGAGGGAAGAGAAGTAGATCTGATTCCATATTTCAGATGGCTTGATTTCTTATTTTATTATATATATATTACATTATAACTATACTAAAAAGAATAGAAGGAAAGGTTTCATCTCAGAAGGCTAGCTAAGCTAAGAATAAAATGGAATGAAAAACAAAGGTCTGTGGCTCAGACAGAGAGAGAGAGCCAGCTCTGCCATGAGTGGTCACTATTTCCAAACATCCACACGAGACCGATCACGGATCCACCTGTTGCATTCCACAGCAGCAGATAACCATTGTTTACATTTTGTTTCTGAGGCCTCTCAGCTTCTCAGAAGGGGAAAAATCCTAAGAAAGGATTTTCACAAAAAGATGTCTATGACAGATAAGAGATATGCTTCCTTTAGTGACACTATATTTTTCTATATTTTAATTAAAATAATGAAGGTGCTCCAACTCTATCAGGCTTCTTTCAATCTACATAAATATATACACAGAAACACAAGATTTGGCAGAAAAAGGTGGGTAGAGCGATGAAGGTCTACACTGCAGCAAGGTTCTCATGTGAAACAGCAGAACTGCAAATTTTGAACCCTCTGGATCAGAAAGGGCAGTGGCAAATTCTGAGAGGAAGAAAGGCAATATTATAGAGAGTATAATTTAGAAGAAGCTCACAGAATCACAGCTTATGCTGAGTTGGAAGGGATGCACGAGGATTGAGTCCAGCTCCTGGCCCTGCGCAGGACTGTGTCTGCACTGACACCTCAGGTGTCACACCAGGTGCCCAAGAGTGACACTTGGTGACACAAATGTGCCCATTGTCCAAACACTTCCCAAGCTCTGTCAGGCTGGTGCTGCAACCACTGCCCTGGGGAGCTGTTCCAGTGCCCAACCACCCTCTAAGTGAAGAGCAGACCTTAAATGGAATGAAAAATTGAAAAGGCACAAAAACGGAGGGATGGGAATGTCAAGTTCTGTTCCAATGACAGAGAATTAAAAGGGAGGAGTTTTTTAGGGCTCAGACTAAGTTGTGCATTCTGAAAGGATATCGTGGCATTTGTGGTTTTCAAAGTTTTTACCATCATTCTTTCAAGTTAGAAGAGCTTTGGGTTTAGCTCATGCTGTCACAAATTGAGAACAAGGCCATCAAAGTTAATGAAAATGCACATCTATAAAACATCCTATTTGAGACATTTCAGTTAATATCAAATCATCTTTATTTCAAATGAGATAAGATTAGAGAAGAAAAGTATCAAATTATATCATCAGTGCTTTCTTCTGCTACAGCCAAAACCTGTGATTAAACAAACACCAGATGAAAAGAAATTTTATACTCTGGAATTATTACTTTTCCCTGCCAAAGGTGTTTTATTAATACATTTTGTGTTCTTTTCTGTCAAATAAAGTAATTCTAATAAAAATCATCCTGAGAATTAAGAATTCATTACAGTCTTGTTTTCTAATATTAAGCTTAAAGTAGATTTTTTTATCTTACTGAAGAGTAGTTCGTCAAGAATCTTCAGTAAGATATAATATTCACTTGTTTTCTCCATTTGAGAAG